TTGGTAATTATATTAGAAACTGACGCTTTTCACCCGCGAAATATTGTATAAACTATAGTTTCATATGAAAACAACATGAAGCAAACATATTTGTACCTGGATATGTGTTTATTTGTATGTTTGTATTAGAAACTATTATATTTCACTTGATAAATGTTATTACTAAACTAAAACAGCAATTTCAAATCAAATCTGCCCATGCATTGTTCAAAATCAAGCATTTTTGAAAATATCCACACAACAAAAACGCATAGGCTATTGTAATAAAAATATTAATTAAAACAAATCAATAAACATAAAAAAAATAAACATTTTTGAACCATCTCATTCAATATACGTCAATATATCACCATGCAAATGTTTACATTAATTGGACCTTCCTAGGCCAAGATCTTGGGGGGGGGGGGCATGATGCCCCCCCCCCCCCCCGAGCGTATTAAGACCTCAAATAGCCTGGCCTTTTTAGGGTTAAACCTAGTTTATTTTAGACTCATAGGGAGAGAAGAAAACAATCAGTAAGCAGACTTTTATTTGAAATCCAACTTTCAGTTTTGTTTGCAATAAAGGAATAATGATCATAGATGAAGCGAATGGGGAGATTTGTGTGGTTCAAAGAGTTTGTCGGCATTTATGTAAACGAGTAATAGTTCAGGTTAAACAAACAATAGAAGAAAACTTGTACAAACATCAGAAAATACTATTTCCTTATATATAGGAACATACACCTGCTTCTAAATCCACAAGGAAAATCCGGACAACGAAATACCAATTTCCTTGAGTTATTGATTCATTTGCAGTATAACAGAATAATATTAAAGGTATTTTACGTCATTAATCGTCCGCTGTAAATGTAAATAGACTGCGTCGGAATCGTAAGATAATGTAATACATGTAAAATCAAAAGCTATGATCAATGACTACATAAACAACAATATCAACAGAATACTTACATTGTTCAAACTCAAACTATCGCAAAGCCTTTCAAAACCAATCTTTTGCAATGTCAATAGGCTTTTCGAACCAAGTGTTGAAATGTTAAAACATGACAATGACACTATTACATGATCATAAACCTTTCTCTTTATACATTATAAGAGGGTAGTGAAATTGCCCATATTGTTTACGATCATTAAAAGTGACCATCTTTAGCGATTTTTATTTTAATCTTATTCACGACTTGTTTCTTCATGGTTAGTCTTTTTACGTCTGGATTATGCCTTCAAGCTACCGTATCCATTTCTGGCCATTGTTCTAAGAAGGTATTTTGGGAAGGAAAGTTTATCAAGGAAACTTCATGAACATAAAAGCAGGCGATATGTCTATTTAAACCTTCAGTATCTCTGGGCTTTAATCAATTGTTGTCGAAACACTCCAAATGATGATGAATCGTTCTTGGTACCTTGCTTGTCTTGTATTTGGAAGTCTGGTGCTCGTGGTGCATCATTCCCAAGGTAAGTCTTTCATATACAGATAGTATAGTTGCCATGGTTATTATAACACAGCGTATTTAATTCATCGTTCATCGATATCTACTTCAGATATTATCTTCATTACTTAACCTCGTGGAGGGGTGTTGGCTAAGTGGTAGAGCAGTGGTGTCGTAACCGGGAGATCAATGGTTCGAAGCCAAGTCACTGAGTATAGTTAATAAAGATTAACGTTTTCAAGGTCATTTTTTTACTTTTTACAATATTGGACAGGTGATTATGTAATAAAGATGACGTTACATCGTGTTTACGTCAACGAAACGAAAATAGGGCAACTCATGCACTAACTAACGGTCTTCATAAGAAGTCTGTACGACATTCCGTTGTTGAGATATGATGGTCGAAAAACATGCATGAAAAACAACAAAATAGCGCCTGTAAGGTCACGTGACCACTTTTTCGAAAAAAATATCGACGTCATGATTTGGACTTAAACATCTTGTTATAAAATTTTATTGATTTAGCTCTTTCCACTATTGAGATATTTGCCGAACAAGTTTGCATAAGAGAATGAAAATGAATAAATAATATTAATAAAGAAGATAGAAGAACCTTGACGAAATTAAGCGGTAATCCTATGGATCGCTACGCGACGGATCACTTTATAATAATCTTCTGGAACCGCTCTTGAAACTTTTGTGTAAAGATAAAAGTATTATCGTGTAACCATAAGAAAGTGGAAACCTTTACGCCAACCCTCAATGTATATTCAGGAAGCGAGGTGGTATATATACATATATATATATGTACAATTTCATGATTTATCGATAAACCTACCCCCTCCCCCACCCCACTCTTGCCAACAGTTATATACACCGCTATGTACTTGGGAGTCAGGAGGCATACTATTCCAATCGTCCATAATATGTGTAACTTAGAAGAAAATGTTTATTAACAAACTTTGGGATATATATTACGATATAGGCAGGAAAGACAGCATTCGCCTTCAAGTCTCACAGGCCTGTTGCAAGCAGGATCGGGGCATTCCTTTGTAGAACACTCAGCTGTTCCGTTGTTACAAGTACATTGTGTACGGGTCTCGTTGCCAGACATCTTCGTGCAAAAAAAAAAAAAAAAATTGATAGCAACGATTTATAAATGTTGCTGAAATCGAATGATTTTTTTCTCCTGAGCTTCCGGTTGCTCTGCACCGTGGACCCCACCAAGGGGCCCCTGGTCACTTTTCTGACCTTAATTGAATGCCTAAAACCCCTGAGCTTCCGTGGGCTCTGCCCCCTAGATCCCCGGCAAAGGGCCCTAAGGCGGGCCCCTGGATGCTCATCTGATCTTTATGTTATGCCTAAAACCTCTGAGTTTCATGGGGCTCCTCAATTTTGCCCCTGGACCCCATTTATTTATGCTCCACTTGCTTTGCTCTCTTTGCTCTACCTGATCTTAAATACTCTAGCCCCCCCCCCCACTTTGAAAAACGTTCCGCGGGGCCTGCATTTAACATTAAAGAATGGTGGTGATGCGTATTTTTTTTGCCCCCCCCCCCCTCAAAAAAAGATCGCCCTGATTTATACACTTTGAAAAAAAATGACTAAATGTGTTGGAAAAAATGGCAATTTTTTTTGCCGCTACATCACAGAGATATTACCGATTCAGCAAACTTAAGAATCTCAAACCTATAGTCATATAACAACTCTCGAAAATCCTTTCTCATCTTTTCTCCGATTTCATTCAACTTTCACCAGTCTGCTTCCTTGATTTTTCTGCTTTCTTTTAGAGAAGTTTGCCATCAAAGTTGGATTTCCCTTTAACCAAACCATTTAACCACAGTGTGTGCATTTAAATTTAAATTCGATATTGGATGGAGCGAAATATTAAATCAAAATCTTACGACTGATTGCATGCTGTATTAATTGATGTACCGATTATAATTCATTATTGTTTACATTATTTCAACGAAATCTTACCTAATCTAGCCTGCATCGTAACGTAGTATCTAAAATACCTCTTCGTGTATACGTCTTAGAACTTAGGATGCATTAATTTTTGGACAAAAATAAGGAGGACATTTAATGAATTTGTCAACCGAAACCCATACAACTGTATGCGAATTAAAATTTAGCTGTTCTCTGAATATTTCAATGGTTAGTGATTATTTACGGGAAAACTACACGCTATAGACTTCATTCTTCAACTTTTGTGATTTGCTCACAACCTTCTCAACAAGTGCTTCCGTCCTTTCCTTTCCTCTCCTACTCCAGTTTTACCTTATTGTTGGTGTAGGAACAACGAAAAAAGTAGTCTCGTATGAATTTCATTCAACGTTAAAGGTACTGTATCTCATTTGCAGCCAACATCAAATTCTGTAGAATGAAAAAATCATTCCATTATCATCTCTTTCCTTTCATTTCCATAATTCCTCTAAAAGCCCTATGAGCGGGTTCTATTGACGAAAGAATATTTTAACAGCCTTTTTCACTTTTGATCCTCCCACCGTAAAATGAATGTATTCATACGTCTACTAGCGTATACCGGTAGGGAAATTGGTTCAAAGTATCCATTTCCAGCGCATAATTACCCAGTATTATTTATTGGGAAAATGTTTATTTTATATATTTTAATCATGTACATGTATCAAAATTTGATATTTTCAATTGAAATAATGAACCAATATTGGGATTTTTACACATCATTTTCGCAAGCATTGTTCTCTCAAGTGAATGTGATTTTTCATATATGCTTTTGAATGTAATGTGAAAATGCTTTATACTATGAAACTTATTACTGATTTAATAGACTCTCTGCCTCATCTGTTTTTCAACTCTTTGAATCTACATAAATCAATATTTTACTCGTGCCGTAACTGTGTCTGTAAATTTGTATATATTATGGTTTTTGTTTTATTTTCTATAATTTTTGTTAAATTGCTTAAGTAAACCATATAATATTAACAAAGTTTTAATGGTCAGTGATCTACATTTTGCATGGCTATGAACTTCTCAGTAGCCCCTCCGCGTATCTCCATTACTTTGTTGTTCATGTTCTCAATCTTTTCATTTCTCTGTATTTTTTCTCAAATTATTGTTAATATTTGTCATAAACTTGTATAATATAAATAATATTTTGAAATTATAAAAGAATAATACCATTATTGAGTTGATTTGAATTGAACACTATAACCTAATTATTCGGTTCGAAAGGGCGAAGAAAAAGAAGAACTAGCAATATTTTGCTCTTTTAATTATTCCTTCATTTTTCTTTCGGAAATTAGAAGCTTCGTTTTGCTATAAAGAGCATCTGTGTACTGTTAACTTTCACGATTTTTCTTGTTGTTCTTATTATTGTTTGTACATTTCAATGAATAAATATATTTTTGGTAAAGTACTCCAATTATTGGAAAATTTGATCAATTGATATAAATTAGTCAATTCAAACTTGGTCAGCTTAAAAATATAAATCAGTCTTCCGTCGAAAATATCCATGATTACCATACTAACACTATTCCCATGATTTATATCCGTTTCGATCGATCTATTTTAATTCTTTTTTTATTTTAGAGTCCATCAGCATCTCATCCGGCGAACCCAGTTACCCTTGTGTTTATCGTGGAATACCGTATCTTCACTCCGAGGTGTGGCGCGTTGACGAATGCACAACCTGTTCGTGTGATAACAGCAGTATAACATGCGTAATTGAATCTTGTCAACCGGTATTCTGCGTAGAACCCCTTAAACTGCCAGGAGGATGCTGCTTTATCTGTCCGTACGGTAAGTCTTCTGATAGCCCCCCCCCCACTCCCACCCGCCCTCTCATTAGACCATACCTATGTTGGAATGTGTCGCGAATTCACTAGTAAAATACATAAAAATACAAGTAAAATACGGCCTTGTCAATTATTACTGTGTTGCGAATCTGGGGTTTCCAAGTTGATCCGGGGGGAGGTAAAGGAAATTATTGCTATCTCCCTCTATGTTCCTCTCTAACCCCCCCCCCCCCCTTTAAATGTTCTGTCTGTTTATCTACTTATTTTCTGCTATATTCTCTTATTTTTGCGGGCCTCTCTTTTTCAAGTTCTTTTTCAAGTGTTGCGAATGTTTTCAGTTTTTCCTAATGTTTGAACTTTCCCGTTGCACACAAACCGTCATTTCGACTGCATTATTATTAGGATTAAAAATCGGTGTAAGCTATAAACTTATTAAGACCATTCATATAAATGCCATGGGCGCACTGTTTATTTTGTCACTCTCACATTTCTACGCTAAAGACCGCCCAAATTGCTCGCTAACGCAGTATTACATCACTAATAACACCTCTTGTGAAACAGGCATATAAAACTGATACTTTGACAAATTCATATCAGATACGCCAAACGCAAATGTATCAGCATCAAACGTTTATACACCCTTCCCCCCCCCCCTCTTTGCTACCTCTTTTTGTGTATCATCATGATAATTATTACTAGTCATCAAATCTATTTCTTAAATCTTGATTCATACCAGACGTGACCGTGCGTGAAGTTACACCCACCATACAAGTTAAACACAAGACAACTATCGGTCACACAACACTGTTTCTTGCGGTAGAAGTCAAATTTAGAGATGCCCAAGACACGACAGGAGTGAGCGGCGAATCTCTCTGGGAGTTGTCTGCCTGGATTGCTCTTGTAAACATTTCTCACAGGTATGTGATTGTAACATCAGATGAAGAGTCATAAAACCTGTGCCAAAAAACAAAAAACAAAAATTCTTGTATTACTCCAATATACTTTTTATTGGCTACTAACAGCATTATCTCCTAAAGGTTTTAATTGAAACCTGTCTATTAAACGTAAGTTACCTTGCTTTTATGTTGGAATTGATGTTTTAATTATATATATCATTTCAAAATAAAACTTAAATTTTTATTTATGTTGTTCTCCTTTTTGAATAACTTGATGAGACGCAGGGACAGATCCAGGGGGGCACAAATCCCCCCCCCCCCCCCACAAAGCGAATTTGCGGCTGGCATGATTGTCAAATATTCGGTACCCCCCCCCCCCCCCTCAAAAAAAAAAAAAAAAAAAAAAAAAAAAGTGCTTTGTGCTCATTTTTGCATTCACTTTGGTCACTCGCAGTCACACCAAAATAGGTTTCACCGAGCAAGTTCTCAATGCTGGTCAAGCATCGCAGTAGTACATCAAAGGAGATCAATTCATCTTTCGGGACGTCGTGTATCCCTTCGTAGCTCCCGCATCTTTAATGTGCGACGAGGCCGAGGTCTGTGTTGAGCTTAGACGTGGAATAAATGCAGTAACAACCGATGGTCGTCCTTTCAATTTTGACACACCGTTTATTGGCTGCACTTCACTGTGTACTGGTAGGAAGTATGCCAAGCTATGGAGGCCCGGGGTGGATGGGCGAATGGCAGGGAAGGGCCGCGGTGGACACAAGGCTTATCGGATGGGTTAAATATCATCAGTGCTAACATTGTTTATATGGGCATGAGCCGTTTGACCTTAGGGGAGGGCCCGGCCCCCACCCCCACTCAGTGTTTTTTAGGGTACGCATATGCATGTTTCCTCCTTTTGAACACACCCCCTAAGTCCGGTGTGTAAAGTCAATACGGGCCAGATTTGTGTGTACTACGAGCCGGACTCTGGTGCGTAAAAAATATCCCTTTACCGGACATTTTGGTAACACGCATGGTATCCCTCCCTACACAAAGGGGGCCGGGGGGAGGGGGTACTGTGATGGAGGCATGGGGTTTTTGCATTTATTCTCTACACTTTTGGGGGAGGGGCTAAAGGCGGATCTACGGGGGGGGGGGGGGAGGGGGTGCATGTGCATAGAAAAATGCCATCATGTGTTCAGACCCACAGAGTATCCGCATCGTCATTGGGTCAACCCCCCCCCTCCCCCCCCCCTTACCAAAAAGCTCGAGAAAAAAAATCGCCACTTCGCGGCTCGTGGACGACGCTCCACATCATCATTGAGTCACCCCCCCCCCCCCCGCCTTAGCAAAAAGCTAGATCCGCCCCTGCAAAGCCCCCCCCCCCCCCCCTCTCCCCTCTCTCTCTCTCTCCCTCTTTCAAAAACCATAGTTAATTGACCCGGTAGCAATAGCTAACTATGTCATTACTCTCACTGTGTAGGACGTGACTTATTCCCTTGTCCGGATAAAGAAGGAAAACATTTGCACAAAGATGTCTGGCAACAAGATCCGTGTACACAATGTACTTGTAACAACGGAACAGCTGCGTGTTCTACAAAGGAATGCCCCGGTCCTGGTTGCAACAGGCCTGTGAGACTTGAAGGCGAATGCTGTCTATCCTGTCCATATCGTAAGATATATCCTAAAGTTTAAGTTATACAAATTATGAAGGATTGAAATATTACGCCTCCTGACTCCCAAGTACATAGCGGTGTATATAAATGTTGGTAAGATTGGGGTGGGGGTGGGGGTAAGTTTGAACTTCCAGGTTTGTTTATGTGTTGACATTTAATTTACAAGAGATAAATCATGAAATTGTACATATATATATATATATATATATATACAGGCGCGTACGCGGGGGGGGGGGGGGGGGGGGGGGGTTAGGGGGTTAACCCCCCCCCCCTTTGATATTTGTTATGTGTGTATTTTTAAGAAAATCCCCCCTTATGGCTGACCTCCCCCCCCCCCCAACGAAGACTGACTGAGTCGTTGCGATTTTTTTTGGGACAAAAAAAAAAAATCCTCTTACCCCCCCCCCCCCCGCTTATTCAGCGGCTGGCAGAGTCGTTGCGAAATTTTCGGCCCGATTTCAAAATGTTAACCCCCCCCCTTGAAAAAATCCTGCGTACGCCCCTGTATGTATATACCACCTCGCTTCCTGAATAAGAATTGAGGGTTGGCGTAAAGGTTTCCACTTTCTCATGGTTACACGATAATACTTTTATTTTTACACAAAATTGTCAAGAGCGGTTCCAGAAGATTATTATAAAGTGATCCGTCGCGTAGCAATCCATAGGATCACCGCTTAATTTCGTCAAGGTTGTTCTATCTTCTTTATTAATATTATTTATTCATTTTCGTTCTCTTATGCGAACTTGTTCGGCAAATATCTCAATAGTGGAAAGAGCTAAATCAATAAATTTGTATAACAAGATGTGTAAATCCAAAACTTAACGTCGATATTTGTTTCGAAAAAGTGGTCACGTGACCTTACAGGCGCTATTTTGTTGTTTTTCATGACTGTTTTTCGACTATCATATCTCAACAACGGAATGTCGTACAGACTTCTTATGAAGACCGTTAGTTAGTGCATGAGTTTTGTTGACGTAAACACGATGTAACGTCATCTTCATTACATAATCACCTGTCCGAAATTGAAAATAGTGAAAATGGCCTATAAAACGTTAATTTTCATTAACTTAGTAATTGAATATAATTTTGACATCACATTTATATTACTCATATAACTCATCATGGCAAATAATCTGACAAACAAACAAACTTCAATAATACTAACAGTTTTAAATAGCGCCCTCTCAATTTTTCGAAATGAACATTTTGAATTTTTGTAACTCATCAATTATTTGGCGGGTCCGTACCCTTTTTCAAATGTTATTAGGTCAAGATATGCGCTTTCCAAAAACAAAAAAGAAATTTGAGTAGGTTTATGCAAAGCGAACACTTCAAACATCGCCGAAGATGACGTTCTTTGAAAAATACAAAAAATATGTTAAACTTGTTATTACTCTGAAACTGTTATAGCTAGCCCATGGAACTAATCAGAAACATATTAATGATCACTAATCACAATAACAGATGAGGTTTTCAAAAAGTAATGGCCCAAAAACATAATTTACCTTTCCTTTCGAAGCTCCCGGCACGCATGAATGAACATGATATCTGCTTTATAATTAGGCGTTAAAAAAAAGATAATGTATTGCCCTTTGCTACCGTTTTTACCGTTTAAAAAAAAAAGTTTAATGAATATGTGGGGCTTGTGCTCCACCCCTAAACTAAGTTACACACAGGTAAGGAAAAACTGCGCCATCAGTTGTACCCATGCTTTGCGGTTCGTAAAAACACCTCACACCTCAGCGGCTGTATAAAAGCTGCAACACAAACGGGCTACCTTGACAGCTTCAATTAAGCATCGTGCGAGGTGAAACTAGCGGCTTCGTTTAATAAATAGACCAAACTGATGCTACGTAAAATCAGCACAGGCAGGTGGGGGCACAATTGAAGAAAAAAATTAACAACTTGGGCCATCTATAAATATAAATTGTCTATGTTCGCCTCTGACAATATTTAGCTAGACGCCTTCATCCTAGAATAAAGTCTTTTAAATGATCCACGGACATTTCTTTACATTTATTATGACGAGGATCCATGTTGAAACCCCGATGAAGAATTATTACCTAGATTTCAAGTGCATAGATACAATCCTTAATTAAAGGCCCACTGCACTACTTGTAGCTACTTGCGCCCTCTTACAACAAACAATGCCTAATCGGTGACCATTGGTCCCCCATGATCCTCTTTTTCTTATGTTAACTGAGAGCTGAGTTGATGATATAACCACCTGTCCAGTGACCTTGCAGGGCGCTCTAATCTCTCCTGTAAACTATGGCAGATAAGCTTTAAAGGATATGCATGAACATTACCTGTAGTTAGCGTGAACATTATCTGTAGTTATTTTAATTATTGTTATCATTATTATTGTTATTGTTATCAATGCAGCTATTTATTCATACAATAAAACTTATGTTATATCTTTTAAAATCTAACTTTAATTTCTTACCTTCTTTGTCGACCATAGAATCTCCCGACAATTCCGATTTATGGATAACACTGGTGATATCAACCAGTGTTCTCGTCGGTGTAGTAATCGTCGCCCTGACCATTGTTTGCTTGCGTCGTCGGAAGTAATTCGAAACACCGACTGATTGTAATGCCCACCAGATGATTTCGACAGAATAATTTTGTAATGAATTCTTAAACAGAAAACTTCATGTTTCTGTGTTCTGTATTTCGTTGAGCAAAAAATTGTATTTAAGACCTACTATCTCGGCAAAAAAGACCAGTTCGTAGATAGCACATAATAAAAATGACCCCAAATATCCACAGATCTTTTACCAAAAGAGTCATTCCACTTCGCGCATCTTATAATAATCACCACCAAAGTCAAAAATGTACTTCATAAATACCTTCTGTTCGCTGTCTTGAAAAAAGGATTTACAACAGTATTTCATAGAATTTACCGTTGGTGCATAAATTAATGATTGATACAAAACTTGCATCAATTTGTTGTACAATGTTGGTACAAATTACATTTGTCTCCCAATGCGCAGATTATACCTACCAACTGTCTTATTGCTCAGGATTTTTTTTTCTTCAAAGTCGTGATATATTAATAAGGAGTAAAAGTAAATCCTGTCAACATAGTGTATTTATTTAAACTCACATTTGGTCATTCAAATCGATCAGAAGGGCCTGTGGTGGCTTCAGATATTACCGGGTACACGTGCCCCTCCCCCTTCCCAAGTAAAGATAGAAAACAAATAGAAGAGTCATGGGCCGATAACTATTTTTTTTATGTGTGCTTGTAAGAGGCTTTGTAGAATCCAGCCCCCTCCCCCTCTGTGAGAAAATCTTGACTCCGCCACAGAGGACCAGAACTCCAGATATGCCTATCGAGGTCCTTATTGGCAAGCTATTGATGGTAAACTCGATGTTTATCTCTCTTGAATTCATGAGATTTGCTGAGACTTGTTATTTTGGACAAACCCATTTAAACTACGATGGCTGAGACTTCCACGATATCAGATTAAGGTAATTTCTATGTCCTCCATCTTTTTTAAATGTGTGACAATAAAACGACGTGTTACGTAATCAGAACATGATTTCTATGGGTAAGGTATTATAATTGCCCCCTGGCTGGTTTTCCGAAATTAGCTACGATCGGGTTGTAAATCTGATGTTCCCAAACATATTTCATCACTTATATCATCATAATTGGGTTTGATATCAATATTAACTTTAATGATACATAGGCCTATCTGTCTTGGGCATGCGTTGTTTACGTCTGAAGAATTGTAAAAACAAATACTAAAAGTACAAGAAAGTTTATTTCCTTTTTAACTTTCAAAAAAATGAATAGTTGGTAGCTTATATTTAGGTTTCGTCGTATGCATGTAGGATGTTTCTTTCCTTGGGACCTAGTGCCGAGTAATTCCATTAACTTGGAATTAATAATGAATGAACTTAAATACTCGGAATACATTCGGCATATATTATTAATTGCTATGTCGGGCAAACGTGGGGCAATTTTTCAATTTGTCAAGAACAACCTTTGATTGAAAATATGCACAGAATGTGAATATAATAACTTGATAAAGGACTTCGCATCGTACGTCACGTCATCAAAAAAAGGGAGATGCCCATGTCGTGCTGAGAAACTTTGCATTAGGCTAAGTTTATGCCTGTCTTATACACTTTGGTTGGGAATCTTGTAGATTAGTAGGCAAGAATACAATAAATCTCTCATAATACCTTAAGTTATTTCCTGGGGAGGGGTTTCCTTTAACATAGTACCTATATTTTTTTTTCTTCAAATTCCGAAGACTATTCTTTAAGTAACAAACCAAAAAAGTACTTCAGCTCTCATGCCTTAATGTTCTGTTAACCGATTTTAAAAGACTTATATTATATTGTATAAGCTGCTCAATTAGCTATTTTTGTCGTATATACATATATCGTGTTGTATAACATCAAAAACAAAAACAATTACTCTATCATATGATATGTATGTATTTAAACTTTTGTTCAATTTCGAAATGAATTTTGTAACCAATAGTTTGTACAGCTAGGGCCTCTCAGAAAGACAATTTTAATTACTGAGATAGTTACCCTGTTTAAATGGAACGAATAATAAAAAATTATAAAAATAAATGGTTTCCAGGGAATTGTTGCTATGAATAATGTAAATCATTGCTTTCTTTTAATTGGATTATGTTTTTATCATTTCCGCTCTAAATAATAAATTTAAGAGGGATCTATCCTTAAGACTGGGAATTTGACTAATTGTTTTGTCTGTAGCTTGTAAATATCAATGTGTCGTCATATTATTGTCGACATGACTGTATGGACATGTCAGTGGGTATGTTTGTATTTATGGTCGCATTGTAAATATTTTTATTTTTATGGTCCCTTCTAAAAGTAACCTTCATTTTTTGTTCTCATTAAATAGATTCATGTAGTTTGGGGGCTTTGTTATATGCACTATGTTTGGTGTTTTTTTAATATTTCTCAATATAGAACTAGAGAGGTATGAAGAGTGAACAATATTCCATAGTAGATATTGGACTTTAAGTGACTTGTTACTTCAATCTTTTGAATATATTTCAACAACATAACATTTGTATTGTGAACAGGATACTATTGATGCGAGTAGGTATGTTTGTTAACACGACTGTATTATTATATCTTGTAGTTTTGATCTATACCAATATCGCCTTTATTTTAACCAAGATAATTTTTTATCATCAAAATTACGTTTTATATCAATGTAAAGCATTATGATATATCTAAATAAAATGACAGAGAGAGATGAGGTTATTGACAGAAATTTCGCAAGAGTTTTTGTTTGACTTGTAGGGAGAGGAGCATAATTAGTGAGCATAAGAGAGGAGGTAAAAGATTGGTGCTTAATACATTAAAAAGAGAAGCCCTGGAAGCAAATCGTGACCTGAGAGATTTTAGATCTTAGATTTCAGAATTTGATTTGGAATCCAACCTTTAGTTTTAGTTGCGATAAAGAAATAATAATAATAGATGAAAAGAGTTGGAAAGAGAATGGAGAGATTTTGTGGGTGAGAGAGTTCGTGAAAAAGAGGAAGGGAAAGAAAAGATCGGAGAAGAGTGGATGAGACATAACAAGAACGTTGAAGAGAAATTTCGTCATTTATGAAAACGAGGAATACTTAGTTTTCCTTCAATATAAGAACATACACTTGCTCCAAAAAGGACAGAAACATTTGAAAAACGAAGTACCCATTTCCTTGGTTTATTATTTCATTTCCCCATAATAGAACAATGTTAAAGGTATTTTCGTGTGCAAGTATTGAAGATTTAGCGCCATTTATCGTCCGCTGGAAATGAACATAGACTGTTTGTAAGATAATATAATACATGTAACTTCAAATGTTACGCTCATGGACTGAAACAACAACAACAACATGATACGTTACTAGTGAATAAACATGTAAAGCTCAAAACGATCGGGAAGACTTTCAAAATCCGAACTCAGGCAATTTCAATAGCCTTATATATGTGCAGAATATTGAACAGTTCAAACGTCACAGTGACATTATTAAATAATCCAAACAAAATTATATATGCAAAACAATAAATGTAGTGAAATTGTCCATTTTAAACTTTAAGCTGATTTCAAACCCCTCATTTCTGTCTTTGGATATCCGCTTATATTGAAATATCTGAATAAAATGAACGGGGGACGAGGTAGATGAAAAATAATGAATAAGCAATTTAAAAGAGAGGGGAAAAGATTGGTGCTTAAAGGTACTATGTCCCTTTTGCAGCCAACATCAGTCCCAGTAGTCAAACTATGCAAGGAAACCCGTTTACTTCATAGACTTCACTGTCAGACATTATTGAGTGACTGACTGACTTCTTTTTTTACTTTGGTAATAAACTACGTAAAATGAGCTGTAACAAGTACATGCAGCATTTATCTATATTAATAACCCAATTCTTGTAATGGCCAAAATCAAACTGATTGAATCTTTGCTCTGCACAAAACATATGACTTTTCCGTAGGAGAATCTGAAGATCAGACTATTTACATAAGTGATACCAATCCCTTAGGTCGATTTGACAACAAATCGTCGTTATTTTTCCACCAAAAGACATTTCCAGCCCTTTCGTTTTAACGGAAGTTCTAAATCAGTATTATCTTTCAAATGCCATTGGAATTTAACCTTTTCCCTTTTTAGGCCTGCAAATGGGACATATTACTTTTAATAAAGTATAGGGAGAAGCACTAGAAGCAAAATATGACCTGCAAGATTTTAGATCTTAGATTTAAGGTTTTTATTTAAAATCCAACATTAAGTTTTGATTGTACCTAAGATCTAACTAATAGATGAAGAGAATTTGAAAAGAGATTCGAAGGATTTATTGGTGAGAGAGTTGGTAAAATAGAGGGAAGGAATGAAGAAGTCGAAGAAAAATGGATGAGATATAGAAAGAACAATACAGAGAAATGTTTTCATTTGTGTAAACAAGGAATAGTTCAGGTTAAACCAACAATAGAAGAAAACTTGTAAAAACATGAGAAAATCATTCTTCCTTAAATTAGGAACATACACCTGTTCCAAAAACCACAGGAACATCCGGACAACGAAATACCCATTTCAATAGCCTTTCGTGCCAAATTTCGAAAATTTCAAACAGGGCAATGACATTATTACATAATCATTAATTCATTTCTAAATACTACATCATTGTATTCCCCTTTTCATTTTGTTCAATACAATTTGACATGTTAAGAATAACAACAGGCTGTTTCGTTTCAATGACTTTCATAATTCGAGGTTAGCGCATTGGATCAAGTGTGACATGTTTTATAATGGTGTTTTCCACTTAGTTGATTGGTAAATACTTGTAGTTACCGTAGTCACTTTGGCCTTGCACATCATCAATATTAGGCTAAAAAGATAATTCATCACGTATCATTCCTACATTTATTCATTTATGCAAAACGGGGAAATGTACACCACTTCCTTGTACAAATGAAACATTCGTTTAGCCGAAGCTAAGTCAGGGAGAGTTCCGAAAAATTCTTCAGTTAATGTAATATATTCAAACTTTACCGTTAAACTGGGAAACGAAAGAGACAATTGTGTTGATGATGTTAAGGATGTTAGAGCACCTGATTAAAAAAGAATTAAAATCCACAAGTAAAGTTGATTAACGAATTTGTACCCATTCTGAAACATAATGATCCGTGTTGCAGCCATTAGGCTGAAGTGTACATTTAAAGAGTGAATTTCCAATTTGTCTTGTGATTTTCATTGTTCCATAGTTTTACAGAAATTTTCAAATATTCATAACATTCTTATTAGATATCCAATTTTGCTCAATTTTTTTGTATTGGTTTGTCTGATTTTTCTGCTTCTATTGAAAGTAAGTCATTTTTGGAGTGGACTTTACCTTTAAGATCTAATTTTCTTGGTAACGCAAATGGGACGCCATGTTGAAATGCCTTGGACCAGCGTTTTTCTACCGGTGTTCCGCGGCACAATGAGATGCTACACGTCATCGCTAGGGATGCAGCGAGAGATTTTTTTAAAAGTTCTGATATTCGGGCAACCATCACCTCATATTTTTTTTCAGCCAGATGCTCAAAGATAGTTATATTCGGGCGTCAGCAAACCCGAAAGTGTGTGTTTGATAAGGAAATAACATTTTATAGACATTAAAGTTAGTGTCTTATTTACTCGCTCGCTTTGCTCTGTCGCATAATTTAGAATCGGGATGATTTCAGGCCTGTTTTAGCAGAAGAGTACTCGAATATATATCAATTAAAAATTATCCATTATATCTACATAAAAATCCAATGATGAGAGTGTTTTTTTTTCCCTTTGGCTAAACTCGCTGTTCAGGAACAGGATAATCCCGTGCAAGGTGATGCCTACAGGTCCTCATATTCGGGTATGGAGGTAGCGGAATGTATAATTTGTGTATACTTTAAGTCATTTATATAGCGAGATGTCCAAATATATTATTTTATATTGCAGGTGGTGTCATCCAGTATAGTCCCATCATCTTCATGACAGGGAACGTGGATTGGTCTCCAGCGATCTGGCTCGTCCTGTAGATGAACTGATACATCTGCATTCGATTATGAAGCCTGGAAGACCGGTTACCCAGACAACGGAGCAGAAAATCAGTGTGTCTTCATTCCGCCAAGACCCTGGAGTAGGCACCTGTTCTGACGCCACTGGGATTGTTACGGTGTCCGGGTAAATTTCGTCTGCATCAAAAAGCCTGATTAATTTACCTTCCTTGTCTGACTTGGCAAAAATGTTTCCTGATGTCGACTCATGAGTCATGGCCTCTCTCTCTCTCTCTCGCTCTCTTATTCCATCACGCACAGATATCCCACTCTCACTCACTCACACACACGCACACACATACATTCGTGCTGAGAAACACTGCATTCTGCTAAACTTATACCTCTCTCGTAATGTACATTTTGGTTTGGAATCTTGTAGATTATAAGCCGAGAATACAATAAATATCTCAGAATACCTTAAGTTATCTCCTGGAGTAAGATTTCCTTAACCCTAATAAGGCCGGGGGGCATAATGCCCCCTCCCTGTCGAATTTCTGCCGCTGCATCAAAACTCCTGAACCTTTGGCGCTAAAATTTCAATAGTTTTTTCCCCATGTCTCCTGCACATTTTAATACCAAATTTGTTATGGGCGAACCTATGGTTTGGGTGTTAGATGACAAAGTACATCACATGTCAATCAAAATATGTGATTCTAACAAATGTGTGTGTGTAAGTATATTGCATTTATATGATCTTTTCAAAATCAATATCATGAGTGGTTTATTTCATGTTATATTTCATTCATGATTATACTTATGTAGTATTGGCCAAGCATTGTTTTATTCACATAATGAAATACATAAGAAATTAAAAACAATACAAAACATAAGAAATTAGTAATTATATACATAAACGAAACTGACGCTTTTCACCCGCAGATTATTGTACAAACTATAGTTTCATATGAAAACAACATGTAGCAAACAGAGATTAATAGTTTGTGTTAGACTCATAGGGAGAGGAGAAAAATAGTATAGGATTTCCCGGCAAAATTCGCGTGTTTGTCATTCGAATTCATTTACTTTGCATTTAAGTTAGCGCAGATCGGCTTTGCCATGCCAATTATCATTTAATTTTCCAGTTTTTGTATTTAATTTAGGATTTTGGTCGAAGGGTTTCATAGATCTGTCATTCAATTTAGAAACTGCTCAACTAGTATTCAAATTAATATTCACTTGTCGAAGCGTAATTTGTATCATTCAAATTAACACCTGTCATTCGTATTCGTAATATTTTTGTTCAAGTTAGGAATGTTAGGGGGAATTGCAACAAACTTTTACAGTTTTTAAATAATGCAGTTAAAATGCATGATTTGCCATTGGGGTCTAAGCTGTTATTCCATGTATTTATTTTCAGGACAATGCAGATGGGTGTAGTCGGACATAAAGTAAAGAAGGGGCGAAATCAAGGGATATGGCATTTCTGCACGGACATGTTCATATACCCGGGAAAGATGGGGTACCCTCAATCGTCCCTTTTTTAATATATACTACAGACTCGGAATTTTACAAAAGTAATTCACATCGTTTCTTATACCCAGCACACCCCTCTGTTTTTCTTAAAGAGTTTCATAGTTTACTTGCCCGCCAGCAGATCGATGGCTAAAGACTTGGCTAAATAATGAATCATGTTCAAATTGTTGACTCTAGTCCCCACCCCAGTCACAATATTGCACCCTTCTTCCAAAATAGAATTATGATGAAATTATGATAAATTTATGATGAAACATAAGACAAACAACTTCCTTACATGAATATTAATAAATATATTGAGACCATCAGGTCCGTAGATGCAAGTCGTTTTTTTCTTCTTAACAATCAAACTTAAATGCTGATGAATATCACATAAATCTGATAAGTATTAGTGTATAAATGCAAGAAAATGAAATATGATGAAATACACATGAAAAAAACAATTTTGAAAAAAAAAGAATGAGCTATAAAAAGTGTGTAATAAACGAGAAATGTATATTGACCATCAATTTAAGTGCACAGAGTGCTAATTTGAATGCTACAAATGAATTAAAATGCTAGGAGTACACCGTCGTGTTGTCAGAAAATCGTGTTGCGCCAAATCGAATGACCAAATAGCGAAAGAAGCACATTGTTCATTAACTTGAATGAAACATACGTAGATTCTAACGTAAATGCCATAGATTTGAAAACTAGAAAAAGGAATATAAACCCGAGATATACCTGACTGCACTAAAACTGTCGAATTTGAACGCAAGACAAATTAATTTGAATGACAAACTCGCGAATTTGGCCGGGAAATCCTATATTAAAGCAGACTTGTATTTAAAATTCATCTAAAAGTTTTCTTTGCAATAAAGAAATAAAATCATAGATGAAGAGAATAGAGAGATTTATGTGGTTCAAAAAGTTTGTCGGCATTTTTGTAAATGAGTAATAGTTCAGGTTAAACAAACAATAGAAGAAAACTTGTACAAACATCAGAAAATAATATTTCCTTATATATAGGAACATACACCTGCTCCAAAATCCACAAGGAACATCTGGACAACGAGGTGCCAATTTCCTTGAGTTATTGATTAATTTGCCCTATAACAGAATAATATTAAAGGTATTTTACGTCATTAATCGTCAGCTGTAAATGTAAATAGACTGCATCGGAATCGTAAGATAATGTAATACATGTAACTTCAAAAGCTATGATCACTGACTACATAAACAACAATAACAACATAATACTTACCTCGTAAAGCTCAAACTATCGCAAAGCCTTTCAAAACCAATCTTTTGCAATGCCAATAGCCTTTCGAACCAAGTGTTGAAATGTTAAAACATGACAATGACACTATTACATGATCATAAACCGTTCTCTTTATACATTATAAGAGGGTAGTGAAATTGCCCATATTGTTCACGATCATTAAAAGTGACCATCTTTAGCGATTTTTATGTTATTCTTATTTATGACTTGTTTCTTCATGGTTAATATGTTTACGTCTGGATTATGCCTTTAAGCTACGTATACATTTCTGGTCATTGTTCTAAGAAGGTATTTTGGGAAGGAAAGTTTATCAAGGAAACTTTATGAATATAAAAGCAGGCGATACGCTATTTAAATCTTCAGTCTCTCTGGGCTTAAATCGATTGTTGTCAAAACGTTCCAAATGATGATGAATCGTTCTTGGTACCTTGCTTGTCTTGTATTCGGAAGTCTGGTGCTCGTGGTGCATCATGCCTCTTCCCAAGGTAAGTCTTTCATAAATATATTATACAGCTATTATACTCATCATGCTTATTAGAACACAATGCTATTTAATTCATCGTTCATCGATATCTACTTAAGATATTATTTTCAATATCTAACCTCGTGGAGTGGTGATGGCTAGGTGGTAGGGCAGTGGTCTCGTAACCGGGAAATCAATGGTTCGAAGCCAAGTCACTGAGTAAGTGCCCTTTGGTACGGTATTGAATGCTCATTAGTAAGTCCCGTATATATACTTTAAATCCTATCTGCACTAGATTGACCAGGAGGGATTAGACCTCCATGCATGGTTCATGATATGTGGTTTTCCCATCAAATCAGCTCTCAATTCACGTTAGAAAAAAAGGGATCCTGGGGGACCAACGGATACCGCTTAGGCACTGTTTGCTATATAGAGAGTGGATGTAGCTACAAGTAGTACAGTCCCGCTTCAAGGGGAATTAAAGCCATTGGTCTCGATGACTTACTTACAAGTATACACATGCTGTCTTAGCAGTCAGGTAAAAACACACCATCAACAATCAATTTTTCATTAAAATATCTTCTGAAAACCGTTGACAGCCATCTCATTAGCGAGATTTTTGTCAAACGAGTTTACAGATGTACATTCCTTGACTGCATGACCGAGCAACTGGGTAAATCAAAACTTTTGCGTTATTCACTCCGTTTTAACGAGAATGAATACCCAACTCTCAAGCAACATTTTACTTTCCAAATGCCAACAACTCCCCAAATCAATGGCTGAAATTCCGTTTAATCGGATCAACCTTCGTAATAATTTCATTTGCATCACAGACGGGAAATAAGAGAAACAGAATGGCAGAAGTTTGACTTAAATCGGATCAACAATATTATAAGAAAGTTATTAATGTTTGAAATATGAGATCACCGAATCTATGCGAATCTAAAATTCGCAATTTGGTCACTGGGTTTTGACTTAGTCGCGGATAACTCATCGGTTTATCGTGTACAAAACTATAATATATATTTTTTTTCTTCTTAGCGTCTTCTCTCTTGGGGCACTACTCATAATATATTATGGATAACATAAATACTAGTACAGGTTCTCTACAAAAAAAATACGATCTTTTATATTTTTTTAATTTATTTTGTGTAATGGAGAAATTACCGCTTCACCAAATTTGAAGAGCTTATACTTATAGTAATTTAATAACTTCCAAAATACTTAAGTTTCTCATCTTTTCTCCAATTTCGTTTAAATTTTTACCGGTCTGCTTCTCTGATTTTGTTGCTTTCTAGTTTGGAATTAGATTTGATTTTCCTTTAATCAAACCTTTCAGCGAACGTGTTGAAATTGATGTATCAATATGATATTACAAATGATAGCCTGTTTTTAAATTGATGTACTGATTGCAATTATTTATTTCTCTCAATATTTCAACGACATCTTATTTAATCCAGCCTGCATCTTAACGTATATGATCTAAAACACCTTCTCGTGTGTACATGTTAGAATTTAGGATGTGTTTGGTCAAAAAATAAAGGGGACATTTAAGGAACTTGACCACCGAAACCCATATGCGAATTGAAATTCAGATGTTCTCTGTATATATTTCCATGGTTAGCGAGTATTCACGGAAAACAACACGCCATACTCTTCATTCTTCAACTTGTGTGATCTGCTCACAACCTTCTCAAACAATCCTTCCTTCCATCCTTTCCTTTTCTTTTCTACTTCCATTTTAACTCATTTCTGTTGTTCGAACAACGAAAAAAAAATCGTTTAAATGTTTTATAACAAATTATTTCAACTACCATCTCTTTCCTTTCCTTTCTTTAATTCCTCTGAACGCCCAATGAGCGGGCTCTATTGACGAAAGAATATTTGTAACAGCCTTTTCCAATTGGTGTTACCGTAAGCCCCCAATCGTAAAATGAATATATTCATACACCTGTTTTCATACACTGGTAGGGATATTTTTTGTAATAGTTGGTTCAAAATAACAGTATTCAGTGCATCTTTACCCAGTTTTATTTACTGGAAAAATATCTAAATTATATATTTTAAAGGTATTACAAAGTTTTGGGAAATTTTGAAAAATGGGTGGATAGTGATTCTTTACAATTTTGATATATTTGGATGCCCCTGTGGATGTATTAAAAACACCAGAAATTTTAGCCCCTAAAACACTTCTGCTTTCGAGAAAAATTGAATATAAAGATTTACCGGTGCTCCCGGTAAATTTTGATAAATTTCAAATAGCTTCTACGGCCGTATAATGGTAGCTGCGACCATGAAAATCTCAGAGTATGCAGTTGTTGTATATAATTTCCGAATGAGAATAGCTAATCGTTCGATTTTAGTCAATAAACATTGTTTTATAGCTTAATTAATATCTTGACCTTGATAGGGAGCTATTCAACATAAAATGTTTATTATTTACAATTTCATAACTTTAGAGTCGATTTTGACCGCGACAACGATCACTGAATATTGCAGGATCGTATATGCTTCCAATATGTTCATTTGAACCAAATTCATGATCCCATACCAAAACTTTGTATTACCTTTAATCATGTACATGTATCATTTTATATTTTTTATGGACAAAATAAACAAATAATGCGATTTTTACATATTTCGCAAGCATTGTTCTCTCAAGTGAATGCAATTTTGTATTTATGCTTTTGATCGCATGAGGTAATTCTCTTAATGTGATGTGTTTAAACCCCTGAGAATCATCATCATTCTTCGACTTTGAACGATAATAAATTTTCAAACACGTTTTAATAAAATCATTACTAGTGGCTTACCCATCTTCCCATCTTTGCTACATGTTGAAATAATTTGGTCACCGAAAACTCAAACAAATAAATAATGTATAGACAAAAAACACCACAGAATATAGAATATTTCAAAAAATTATTTGATCCATGAAAAATGGTCAGATCTATTTCATCAGGCAAACGTAAACATTGCACATGATAATTTTTATAAGAATGCTTTTGAATGCAATTGATGATGCTATAAAGTAATTTAAAAACAAAATATACAAACTTATTACTGATTTCATTGACTCTCTTTACTCGTACGGTAAATGTATCTGTAAACGTCATCTGTGTTTATTATGGTGTTTGTTGTTTAGTTTTCTATTATTCTTGTTAATTTGCTTAATTAGGCCATATAATGTTTTTTTGTTGTTGTAATAGTCAGGGATCGACATATTACAAGCTATAAGCTTCTCAGTAGACCCCTCTACATATTTAATTTACGTTGAAGTTCTCAATCTGTTCATTATGCTCCATATTTCTTCTCAAATCGTTGTGAATATTTGTCTTAAGCTTGATTAATTTGGAGAATATGTGGAATATGGGTAAATTAATGATACTGAGAAATTGTAAATGATGTGCATTTCAGCTTTTGAATATAGAATTGTCAAAATTAAACCCTTATTGAACTGATATTAATTGAACACTATAACCGATTTATTTTGTTCGAAAGAACTAAAAAATAATTTTCTCTGCAATTTATTCCTTGAATGTTCTTTTCGAAGACTCTTCTTCTTCTGTATCACTTAGCAGCGCTGAACCTTGGTTCACTTGTATATATCATGGACTTCCGTTTAACCACGCCGAAGTGTGGGACACGGGCCCTTGCACAACCTGTACGTGTGATAACGGCACTACAACATGCGATATTGAATCTTGTCAACCGGTATTCTGCGCTGAACCCCTTAAACGACCAGGAGAATGCTGCGATTCCTGTCCGTACGGTAAGTCTTCGGATAGTCCCCCCCCCCCCACTCCCACCCGCCCTCTCATATGACCACACATATGTGGGAATGTGTCGCGAAATTCCTTACTAAAATACATAGAACCAACTAGATTGCCTGATCCAGGGACTCTTCAACCGTTACTTTGTTACAAATTTGTGGTTTCCAAGTTGATCGAGGAGGGGGGGGGGATACAAAAGTATCCCTGTCACTTTGTGATCTTCTCTAGATCTTTTTTTTTCTACTTTTCTCTCTTTATAATTGCTCGTTTTTTGCTGTGTTCTCATCTTTTCGTTGGCCTCTCTTTTTCAAGGTTGATCGAGGAGGGGGGGGGGGATACAAAAGTATCCCTGTCACTTTGTGATCTTCTCTAGATCTTTTTTTTCTACTTTTCTCTCTTTATATTTGCTCGTTTTTTGCTGTGTTCTCATCTTTTCGTTGGCCTCTCTTTTTCAAGGTCACGTCATCTTCAATTCCCGGAGTGATGCGTAATTATGTTGTGTGTTTTCCAAACGTCTAACTTTCACGTCGCACACGTGTCGTCATTTCATCTGCGTGATTACTAGGGTTAATCGAACTGGTGAAAGCAATACAATTAGCCAAAGACTATTTATCAAATACCATGGGCGCAGTGTTTATTTTGTCACTCTCACATTCCTACACCAAAGAGGCGCAAATTGCGCTCTGCTTCATTATTACGTCACTAATGACGCCTCTTCTGCAACATGCATATAAAACTGAATACAGTGACTCATCCATATCAGACATGCCAAATTTAAATATCTCAACATCTAACGTATTTTCATTCCCCCCCCCCTCCCCCCACCTATTTTTTCGTATCATGATATTTATAAAGTAGTCATCAAATCCATTTCTTAAATCCTGATTTATTCTAGACGTGACCGTGCGTAAAGTCAAACCTACCATACGGAGTAAAGGCAACGTGACGACAAACGGTGACGCAACACTAGTTCTTGCGGTAGAAGTCAAATTTAGAGATACCAGAAAGAAGACAGGAGTGAGCGGTGAATCTCTCTGGGAGTTGTCTGCCTGGATTGCTCCTGTAAACACTACTCACAGGTATGTGCTTGCGACATCCTTAAAGAAACAGAACAAGAGTCTTAAAACCTGAGCCAAAAGAAAGGTGTCTTTTATTACTGTAATATACTTTGGTAACCTTGCTTTTATGTTAAAAAGTACGTTTTGATTATAATCATTATTGCAAAATTATGTCCTGAAGTATGTTAATCTGAAACCTATGGGCATTTTACTTTCCTTCTTATATTACTTGATAGACATACGCCCACAATCTACAATTTCCTCATAAATCCGTCAGGCGTGTCTGTTTCGACAGAAATGGCGCATTACAAATGTTAACTATTATTATTATTATATAGTATTCCCTAATCCAATACATAATTCTAATTCTAAAATCTGTATTATAGGCTCATCAACTCTTTATTCATGAAATTGATGTTTAATGTATACGTTGATTTAATTATGTTATCTATTATATTTTGTTAACATGGAATCTTGTCTGCAATCACTTTGTAAGATACTTTATTTATTTATTTATTAACAAAACCCGAATTGAATCGAGTTATAAGGACACAAACTCGGGGGTGAAGGTCGTTACTGTCGCTTTATCATCATTGCATTTGCTAGAGAAGTGTACTTGTTTACTTATTTTATTTAATTTATTAAAAACTTTATTAATTAAATCTTTAGTGAATCCATCTTTTTATTATTTATCTCTCTATTCATTTGAATATTAGTCATTTATTTATTAGATTATTTATTAACTGTTGTGGTTGTTGTTTTTATTTCCGAATTCAGATAAAAATATTACACATAGCAAAATATACAAAGTAAAATATTTATACATGTACATAGACAAAAATCGGTGGATAGCCCAATTCAGCAGTGTTTATAGAACAGTACATAAAGCAGAATAGAAACAAAACATAAATACAAGTTTTTTAAATACCAAGGTAACAAAATATTCAAAAAAAATATCAAATGCGTACACCAACACACACGCACACACACACACACACACACGCACACACACACGCAGTTATGCAAAATCATTTGAGTTTAAGGAAGTGTGTTAAGAAAAAATATCAGTTATTAGGGTATGGAAGGATCTTAATGTAGTTACATTTCGGATGTGTTCTGGTAGTTGGTTATATTGTGTCGCCCCCTATAGAAGAATGTTCTTTTGCAATTATTTCGGTTTAGGGAGCTCTAGATTTCGGGATGAGCGAAATTAATAATTATACGTGCGATATTTGATTTTATTTGACATATAAGACGGAGTGTAATTATTTAATATCTTAAAAATCATAGTACAACTTTTTATGGTTTCGTGTCACCTGAGCCTGGGATGGGAAATGCGAGCTTAATCACTGTGATCCTTGCTGAAATTAAGCGTGTGGGTGCATGCAACCAGCTCATATACCAGTAATACAGTCAGTATGTAAATTATTCGTTCTGCATTCACTTTGTTCTCTCTCAGTAACACGAGGCTGGATTTCAACGAGCAAGTTCTCAATGTTGATCAAGCATCGCAGTGGTACATCAAAGGAGATCAATTCATCTTTCGGGACGTCGTGTATCCCTCCAGTGCTCTGCCTTTAAACTGCGACGAGGCCAACGTCTGTGTTGAGCTTAAACGTGGAAAAAATGCAGTAGCAACCGATGATCGTCCTTTCCATGTTAGCAGTCTCCCCAAAAGGTCTACATCGTTGATTGGCTGCACCTCACTATGTACTGGTAAGAAGTAGGCCAAGGAACGAGGGGGGGGGGGGGTACACAAGAATTATTGGTCATCATTGGGTGGGCTGAATAACCCCGGAAGCAGTATTGAATTCTCTTAAATCTGCTAAATTTTGCCTGATTTCGGGATTCTTCAACTATTACTTGTTTCAAATTTGGGGTTTTCAAGTTGATCGGGAGAGGGAGGAGCACGAAAAATTCTTTATTTTTCTGGCGCTCTTGTCTAACATCTTTATTCCTGTTCTTCTATCTTTATATCTGCCTATGTTCTGCTATCTTTTCTTCTTTTCATTGGCGTCTCTTTTTTATGGGTACATCTCCTTCTTTTTTTTTGCCAAAGTGCTAAGTATGTGTTGTGTCTTTTTCCAAATGTCTAATTTCCCCGTTGCTCTAGTGTCGTCATTTCGACTGCGTTATTACTGATGTTAATCAAACTGATGAAAGCAATTAGCCAAAGGACATTCATATAAATGTCATGGGCGCACTTTATTATGTTGTCACTGTCACATTGCTCCGCCAATCACCGCGCAAATTGCGTGCTGACACAGTATTACGTCACTATTGACGCCTCTTTTACAACAGGGATATCAAACTGAATAATGTGACTCATATCAGACATGCCAAACTCAAATGTTTTGGCATCCTCCCTTCCCCCTTTACCCTTATTCTTTCGTATCATGATCATTATAAACAAGTCATGAAAATCTATTTATTAAATCCTGATTCATACCAGACGTGACAGTGCGTAATGTCAACCCTACCATTCAAAGTCAACGTAGTGTGACATCTGACGGTGACGCAACAATAGTTCTTGCAGTAGAAGTCAAATTTAGAGATGCAAGAAGTACGACAGTGCAAGGCGAATCTCTCTGGGAGTTGTCTGCCTGGATTGCTCATAAGAAAAAGAATAAAAGGTAGGTGCTTTCGACATCCTCACAAAAACAGACGAAGAGTCATAAAACATGCGCCAAAAATTTACGTTTCTTTTATTTCTGTTATATACTTGGTATTGGCTATTTACAATAGTATCTTCTATATGCTTCAATTCATACGTGTATATTGAGTGTATGCAGAGGCGGCCCTCTCGGGAGTTGGCAGAGGGCAAAGCGCCCCCCCCCCCCTTCGACAAGTTCACATTTCCCTTTGTAATAAGTGTTCATTTTGCATTCTCATTAGTGCCCTTTTTAATATCTAGTAAGTGCCCCTAGTTAGGTATGAGAAGTACCTTTTTTCACTTCTGATAAGTGCCCCCTTCACCTCTGATAATTGACCTATTTAAATCTGAGAGGTACGTGCCTCATTTACTTTGACAGGTGCCCCTTTTTCCTTTGTAAGAAGTGACCCGTCCCCTTTTAATAACTAACCCCATTTTAACTCGGATAAGCGCACCATATATTTTCACATGTGTCCTATTTCCTTTCTAATAAGTGCCCCGTTTTCTAATGATAAGTTTCCTATTAAAAAGAGCCCCTTCCCCTTCTCATAAGTGCCTCTTCTCTGGTAAATGATCCTTTTCGGGTACGAGAAGTAACTCATTTTTCACTTCTGTTATGTGCCCCCTTAAACTCCGATAAATGCCCCTTTCAAATCTAATCGGTGCCCATTTTCTTTTAACTAATGCACATTTTCTTTTATTACAAGTGCCCTTTTTTCATTCACATAAGTGCCCTTTTCATATCTGATCATTGTCTTTTTTCAGATGAGATAAGTGCCTCTTTACACCTCTGATAATTTCCCTTTTAACAATATATGATAATATATTATAAATGCCCCTATCAAAATATGATGGGGCCCCTTTTCCGTCGACAAATGCCCATTTCCTATTCTCATGATTTACTTTTTTTCATTCCTGGTGAGTATCTCTTTTTGAGGGTGTAAAAAGTGCCCCATTTTCACCTCTGATAGTTACTCTTTGTACTTTGACACATGCTCCTCTTTTTTCCTGATAAGTGTCCCCTTTTCCTTTCATCATTAAACGCGCCCTAGCTAATTTCAAGCAATTAAGAGCAATTTCCCCCAAAGCTCGCTCGCTACGCTCGCACGCATCTATAGATGATATAATTATGTAACATATCAAAGGTCTTTTCAGCCTTCCGATATGAGAATGTACTTATAACCCCATTAGGATTGTTGTTTCTCCTGTTTATAAAATGTATTTTTTCGCACTGCAACCTCACACATCTTAATTGTTTTCCTCGCTCGCTCGCAAACATTGTTTTTTTTTTAGACAATCAAATCAAACTGCAAAGCATGATGCTTGTAGGGTGTATAAAGTGAAACAAATATTGAAATCATCCCTGATGTCTAAAAGAATGGATATTTTCGCTTTGACATTTACGTTTGTAGGTGCTCTTTTTCTAGGAAGTGCCCTTTTTTTCTTGGTGCCTCCCCCCCCCCCCCACACTTTGGAAGTCGCTCGGCCGCCCTGAGTGTATGTTACATTGGTCTTGATTTGAAAATGATGTTAACATTATAGCAAAATTGTGACATAAGTTGCAAAATCATAAGGACAGAAACTCGGGGATGAAGGTCATTATTGTCGCTTATCATCATTGATGTGATCCTCGCGGAAATCATGCCAGTGTATGCATGCAACCAGCTTATATACGAAGTAATACAAGTCTGTATATTAACTGTTCATTTTGCATTCACTTTGGTCACTCTCAGTCACACCAGGATAGGTTTCACCGAGCAAGTTCTCAATGTTGATCAAGCATCGCAGTGGTACATCAAAGGAAATCAATTCATCTTTCGGGACGTCGTGTATACATTCGTTGATCCGTCTTTAAACTGCGACGATGCCAACGTCTGTGTTGAGCTTAAACGTGGAAGAAATGCAGTGACAACCGATGATCGTCTTTTCAATATAAGCAGTGATCCAGACAGCTCTGCACCGTTTATTGGCTGCACTTCACTGTGTACTGGTAGGAAGTAGGCCAAGCTATGAAGGCCCAGGGACCAGGGTAGAGGGGCGACTGGTAGGGAAGAGGGGGGCATCAGGCTTATCGGGTGGGCTAAATAGTCGGACTTAACAATACCATTAGTGTTAACTTTTTTATTACGGCATGAGCGGTTCCATATTATTTGGGGAGGGTGTACTGTGGTGGAGGCTTGAGGTTCTTGCACTCATTTTCTACACTTTTTTTAGGAGGAAATTCCAAACCCCTACAGATTATGATGTTCACCAAATGATTTTGACAGAATAAGGTTAGAATTAATTCTTAATCAGAAGATTTCAAAATTTCTGTGTTCTGAATTTCTTTAGACCAACCATTTCTGCAAAATAGACCAAATTGTAGTTTTCATATATTAAAGTGGCACGTTCCCGCCAGTGTAGTTATCGCTGCTCTAGTCATCGCCATCTTGGTTCCGAAGATCGACTTCTAATTTGCATACAGCTGTCAATCAAAGTACGCGCGGCCTGGCCTGCCTTCGCCAAGCCAGCTGATCGCTGACGATCGCGACGTCACGAAAGTGGGCGGAAACAGCAGCCGAATCTTAGAGCCGAACTGCGATTGGCATTACTTCGGCACATGTATGTGATAATCGGTATTGTCCGGGCATTCGGAACATGCCATCTGCGTAAGAGCCGTATTCTGTTGGTGTCAATAGGCAGCTAGCACCGTCCGCCAGCGGGTACGTATTTTGAACGCCCTCTGGAATACGGGGAACATGCCTCTTTAATAATAATGACCCCCAATATCCACAGATCTTTTACAAATGGAGTAGTCCCACATCGTGCATTTTAGCACTATTACCGCAAAAGTAATAGATTTACTTCATGAATACATTTTAATTGCTGTGTTGAGAAGAATAATTCCACCAGTGTTCCATAGAATTTCTTGTCGGTGCATAAACGAAGGATAACTACATAACTTTCTCCAATGGGATGCAATGTTGGTACAAATTACATTAATCTGCCAAAGCGCGTATCTTATCTACCAACTGGCTTATTGCTCTGTAAATTAAATATTTGCAGGGACGTGATATCTCAAATGGGAGTAAGAGTAAAGCCTTTCAACAAAATGGGTTTATTTAAACTCTCATTTGGTAATCCAAATCGATCAGGAAGGCCAGTGGTGGATACAGGGGGCACCGGAGAAACGTGCCCCTCCTCCCTAATGCGGTGGTCACATCCCGCCGTACTTGCAAGTGCGTGCTGTCTACGTGCAAAAACGTGGGCAAAATTTTGGTATCCGTACGTGATGAGTACCGCCTCCGTACGGATTTGCGAGCACGCAGACACGCCGTAGCACTTTTAGTGCACGAGGAACTTTCGCTGCGTTCGGGCTGCGTTCGGGCTACCGATTCACCACAGTGCGTGTGACGTGCGTTGCCGGTACTCACTCCGTGCCTTTGCCAATCCCTCCCTACGTTTTCAGAAAAAAGGGGCGGCCGTGGCCTCACCAAAAACCGTACGGACTAAGAACACGCACGGTGGGATGTGACCAACGCTTTAGTGAAGAGAGAAAAATAATAGAAGAGAGTCATGGGCCGATAACTATTTCTGGGTGGACGTGATATCTCAAATAGGAGTAAGAGTAAAGCCTTTCAACAAAATGGGTTTATTTTAACTCACATTTGCTAATCCAAATCGATCAGGAAGGCCAGTGGTGGATACAGGGGGCACCGGAGAAACGTGCCCCTCCCCCTCCCCAAGTGAAGATAGAAAAAATAATAGCAGAGAGTCATGGGCCGATAACTATTTTGGGGTGTGTGCTTGTAGGAGTTTTTTCTAACAGCCATACTGTTTGTCTTACCTAACAACAATTAATGTTGCAATTCGCATGCTGACTATTCAAATACAATTATTCGGTACAGGTGAATGAAATAGTTTGTAACGAGGCACTTCGCAATGATGTGTGCATGAAATTTGATTAAACGAAAACGGTCTATAATAGTACAAAATATAATAGCAGGTGAGTAAAATATTTCATCACCGCACACACACACACACACGTGGAAAGGAAGCATCCATAAATTTTAATATACTCTCTTGATAAACAACTTTGCGTAGTACGTCACGTTATCAACAAAAGAGAGATTCCCTTGTCGTGCTGAGAAACTTTGCATTATGCTATAGTTTATACCTCTCTCATACACTTTGGTTGGGAATCTTGTAGATTAATAGGCAAGAATACAATAACCTCTCGTAATACCTATGTATTTAAACTTTTTTCTACAATTTCCTCAGTATTTGTGTATGTGATTGTATTATTATATCCTCTATGGATTAAAAGTGAATTATTGCTGTGAGTAATATAAAACATTTTAGTTTTATTGGATTATGTTTTGATAATTTCCGATCTAAAACATTATTTTTACGAGAGATCTGTCGTCAAAATAAAACTTTTGATAACAAATGTTGTAGATTGTAGATACTGATTGTCATCGTAGAACTGTCAACATGACTTTATGATGATGTAAGTGGGTATATTTGTATTTATGGTCGCATTGTTAATATATCATTATTATGGTCCCTCTTTAAAACGACCTTCATTTTTTTCTTAATGAATAGATTCATTTAGTTTGGGGATTTGTTATATGAACCATATTTGGTCTTTTGTTTTGATAGTTCACGATATAGCGAATTGCACAATATTCCATCGTAGAGCTTGGAGTTTAAATGAATTGTTAGTTCAATCTTTTGCATATATTTCAACAAAATTACAATTTTGATTCCAAACATGATATCATTGAGGTATGAAGTATGTATTTAAACATGATTGTATTATTATATCCTCTATACCAATATCGCCTTCATTTTAACCAACATTTATTTAATCAAAATTACGTTTGATATCGAGGTAACAAATTGGTAACAAATTAATTTGTTTGCTGTATTTGCTTTTTTTGTGCTATTTTTGCTTGTTTCATGTCGTATATCATCTCATGTCAAGGCCTTCTTGCCCATCTATCAATATTGGTACGTCCTTCACCGTGTATAACCTTCTATTCAATACAATTAATTTCGACGTCTTTTCAAAGAATTAATTATATAATGCAACACTTTTAGTATATTTCATATAATGTTCTAATCTTGTCAATTATGTGAATTCTTTTTTGTGAAATGTGAAACAAATAAACTTGAAACTTGAAACTTGGAAGCATTATGATATATCTTCATAAAATGTTGATTTTTGATTTTGATTTTGATTTTATTTCTGCTTTTTTCGAATTATAATAACAAAATATCAAAGAAGATATAAACGTAAGGTATAATACAAAATATACATACAATGATAACTTCATGTCATTTTTTTTTTTTTTTTTTTGTTAACATATGTACATATAATAACGAAACTCAATATTTATATAACATATTATTATGAATTTAAAGTATTATCCAAACTATCAGTTGAAAAAAAGTGCAGGAGACCGCAATCATAAGCGAAGCTTGACTAGGATGGCGGCCTCAAAAAGAAAAAATAATCTTAAGGTAAAACTTAAAATGAAAAATGACAGAGAGATGAGGTTACTGGAAGCGATTTTGCAAGAAATTGAGAGTTTCTGTTTGGCTCTTAGGAAGAGGAAAAAATTTAGTGAGCAGAAGAGAGGGAAAAAAGATTGGTGCTTAATAAAGTAGAAAGAGATAGAGCTAGAAAGGAAGCGAGATATGACCTGAAAGATCTTAGATCTTAGATTTAAGATTTTTATTTAGAATCCAACCTTATATTTTGGTTGCAATAAAGAATTAATGATAACAGATGAAGAGAGTCGGAAAGAGAATGGAAAAAAAACGTCGAAGAAGAGTGGATGAGCCTCATAGAAAAATAGATGAAGAGAAATTTCGTCATTTATGGAAATGAGTAATAGTTCAGGCTAAATCGACAATAAAAGGAAACTTGTACAAGCATGAGAAAATGACATTTTCTTGAATATCGGAACATACAGCTGCTCCAAAAACGATAGGAGCATCCGGACAACGAGATACTCATTTCCTTGATCTCCTGATGACAGAATAATGTTAAAGGTATTTTCGTGTGTAACTATTGTACATAAAGCGCCATTTATCGTCCGCTGGAAATATACACAGACTGCATCGGCATTGTAAGATAATGTAATACATATCCATGTATAAAACAACAACAACAACAACAACGGGATACTTACTAGTGAATAAACATGAAAAACTTAAAACGATCGCAACGACTTTCAAAAATCAAACTCTGGCAATTTCAATAGCCTATACCGTGTGAGTAAAAAAAAAAAAGAAGAGTTAATACACCTAGAAAATTGCTAATAATTTTGTTAATCATCTATGAACATAAGATAGTTATACCTCTCATGAAAGAGTGATTTATTCCAAATTATTTCGTATCATTTTCTTGTGGTATGTGTTCAATTTGAATGAACATGAAGCATATTTGCGAGAGTGCAAAGTCGCACACACAAACACACACACACGATTTATCAAAACATCACATAAGCAACTTTGGCGCAATTCGATTTTTGCACTCTCGCAAACAACGCCTCCTGTTCATCCAAGCGTAAACATATACCACATACAAATGATACCAAATGATTTGGAATAAAACACTCTTTCATAAAATGTACAATTATTTACTGTTCATAGATGGGTTTTTTATAGCAATTTTCTACTTATGTGCAAAATGTTGAAAAGTTTAAACGTCACAGTGACATTATTAAATAATTTAAAAAAAAAAAATATATATATATATAATATGCAAAACATTTAAGATAGTGAAAGTGCCCATATTAAGCTTTAAACTGATTTCAAACCCCTCATTTCTGTCTTTGAATATCCGCCTATAATGAAATATCTGAATAAAATGAACGGGAGATGAGGTAGATGAAAAATAATTAGTAAGCAATTTAAAAGAGAGGGAAAAAGATTGGTGCTGAAAGATACTATGTCCCTTTTAATAATAATAATAATAGTGGGTTCTTGTATAGCGCTCATGTCAGTCAGATTTGACCCTCCTGGCGCTCCCGATTATTACCCTAGCATTTCAAGGAATAAATTCCTACCAGGTACCAATTTACTTCACCTGGGTGGAGTGTGGCAAATGTACATCAATGTCTTGCCAAAGAACATTAGTGCGGCGGCGGGACTCGAACCGCGGACCTTGTGATCGACAGTCCGGCGACGTATCCACTCGGCCAGAACCAGGGCATAAGGGACTGCCCAGGCAGGGGAAAGGGAAAAAGAAGAGGGGAAAAAAAGGGGGAAAAGGAGGGGGAAGAGAAAAAGTTACGAAAAAAAGAGGAAAAAAGCTATATTAATACCCCGTGACTTCATGAAAGAACTTCACCTGAACTTTTCCCTAGTTTGCA